TTTCCAAGAGTCTTCGCTCCAATCTGTTCAGGAGGGAGGCCAAACGAAGGTGTAGAGCCAGAGAAAGAAAATGAAGCCCGAGAAGAGGATGAAGAAAGTCGGGAAGAAGCAAATGCAAATGTATTGCTAATTAATGAAGTTGATTGGCAAGTGTAATCAGTATTAAGAGGAAGAGGCCTGATGAAATTATTTGATGGAGCATCATTTTTGTACCCAGAAAACACAGGCAGATCAACTTGCTCGTTAGGGCTTTCGGCAGAGGCAGGTGAAGCAGCATTCTTTTGTAGATTAATGAGGGCTGATATTGACAAATGTCGGGGCTGTAGTGGCCAGACGAAAAAGCGTGATGGTGTGATGCTATCTGTAGAACTAAACATACTGGAAAAAAGGCTGATCAGATCCATCTGAAAAGGAAAATTAAAAAAATAACAGAATGAGGCAAATGGAATTTATCATACAATATCAAAATAGTTTGGAAATGGGGATCTATTAATTCTTTCCAGGAGAATAAGAGTAGTTTAAAACTGCATCCCGAGCAAATTATCTCAGGTATATTCGCATAAATATTTTGTTGAAATTCGCCTCCTTGAAAAAATAAGACGATAAAAGGAAAGGCTAAACGAGATTTCACTGTTTATTTTTATTTTAAAGTAGATAATAAAAGCTATTCGAATTCAGACATAAAGAATTAATGCATTATAATATGGAAAAAAAGTCAAAATAAAATTAAAAAAGAGTCAATAGAGTCGCCTGGATAACTCAGTACTTGGAATAAGCCGGACTCTAAGAAGAGTCATCCATTGGCAGAAGAACAGGGTATAATGATAGGTAATGTCGAGATTGATATAGTGCAAAACTTACTCGAGCAAAAGTGTGTTCCAGATTTCCTGAAGCAGAAGTATCGTCGCGGCAGCTGTTAGGGGGCTTGGTAGCGATCAAGCGAAGGAGACGAGCCATGGAATGCGAATGGGGGGAACAGAGAACTGTGAGAGGGCGCATAGAATGGACAAGTTGAGTAGTTCGCGAATGCGGTGATGTAGACAGACTAGGTCCATATTGAGGATCTTGAGAGAGTGGCTCGAGACACCACATCGAACGAAGGATCTCAAGGCATGAATGGCGAACGTCTGAAAGCGGAAAAGGAAAACAAACGAGATAATTAATTTGATTAGCACAGCAGAAAGAAGTCATTTCTCTAACAGCATGATCGTGAATTAAATGCGAAGTAATTAAAAGTATATATATATATATGTATATATCCAGTTATATTTTCAATAAATGAGCTAAGATATGTGTATTGCGTAAACAAATTAAAGTTTTGTCCCAGAGAACAACCACATTCGTTAGATAAAAAAATGTGGCAGTGACTGACAAAATTCACCTTAGTGATATGAAAGGAATCGAATACCGATTATCACTATATTGTCTAAGACCTCAGTGCAATGAGTGCGCATATAAAAGCCATCTCCAGATGCTGGGCAACTTTAAGAGAAACCCATATCAAAAAGATAATCTTAGTGAGCAACTAAAATTTTTAAGCTCACATACATATTGACCAAAAGTATATATAGGTCAACATTTTTTTAATGCTCCAAATGATTAGGTTCTAATCTGAAATTCCAGAAGCCGCAGTAAATATAGAAGCATCTTTTTTATTAAATTTCATCTCTGGACTTATGAAGGACTGGAAAAAATGAGTAAAGTCGGAGAATCTCCTCAATTGTAGTGCAACCATTGGGTAAAATGCAATAAAGTAATTTGATAAATTTTAGGCTTAACATTAATTCATCAGCATCACAAAAACGGAGGCATATAACTAATTAATAAAACAAATAAAAAGAAAACTGTGACTAAAGACTAAAAATGACTTATTGTCTTTTAAGGCACCAGATAATTGTCAGAAAAGCTAATCAGTCTAAATTAGGAAAATGGAATTAATGTATGAAGCTTACGGGTTTGAAGAAGTTTCTGTTCCAAAAGTGAGAGAAGCTCATCGACAAGCTGATAAAGGTCATTCTGCAGATAGGGAAATATTATAGAGTATTATGATGAGTTACAGAACCAATGTGGCATAAATGTGAAGCTAAACCAGCACGAATGGTAGTAATGGATGTGAAAAGAAGGATTGCATAATAGATCCAATGGGTTCAATAATTATGGACTTCCAACTATCAGAAGTAGAGAGCGTCAGGCTTAAATCCAATCAAGCGCTATTTAGAGTCCTCTATGAAAATTGTATGCTCAACTCTAAGAGTGAATCGTAGAAATGAAGACCAAGATGATGAGTCCTTCTGTTTGGTCGCAGTCTCCTTTAGTTTCATAGTGTTGGTTTGACTTTGTTTCGGCACCTCGGTTGGGGCGTTAAGGCCTTGTGGAACGTGCCTAGTCCTGTCTCCTCTGTCATGGTATTCGTGATTCGCAGCATCGAAGCTTTGACTTGGTACATTCCTAAACGTTTCGTCGGCATTATCAGCACAGTTTCAACCTGTTTTACAACTTATCAAAACTATGACGCTGATACCTCTTAATGACGATGCCAGCGAAACGTTTGGGAATGTACCACATCAACGCTCCGATGCTGCAAATCACGAATACTATAGCAGAGAAGACAGGACTAGATACGCTCCATAAGGTGCCTCTGAACCAAGACTCTAAGAATGGATGCCTAGCAGTATGATAGAAACAAATATTAAAAGTTGTGTAGACCGAAAATTAATTTTCAAATGTTAGGATGCAGGACACAGATGGCTTGTCAACTAAATTGGTTCCCACGCCAAGTTTTCATGAGAGAATGTTAAAAACGAATAAATAAATAAAAATGAGCAGCAAAATTGATACGAAAAAATGCACTGATACAGTTCGAAACATAGCTTTACTGTGTTGACAGACTTAGTATGCAAAAATACGTGTCCTGTTTGTGCAGATTTTCTAGATAGCATAAATGCTTCCCAATTAATCCTAATTGCTAGCTTCTTTAAATAAAAATGAGCTAATGGAGACTCGTTCGCATAAATCATTTCCCATAGTCAAATCTGAAATAAAAACGTCATTTAATAATTCCTTATAGGCCAGTCACAATTGTGAAAAGTAATTCAGCCATTCTTAAACACCTTTTCCTAAGATTGGATAGCAGGAAAAACGAAAGTAAGAATAAACTAAATAGCAAAAGTAAAACTGTACGCCTACACCCACATGAAGACTAGAATAATTATACTTTCACAGACAATGCACATTCCCCCTTCCAGCTAACAAGTACAACTGGCCCTTCTTCGTCTAATCTCACAATATTAATCAATTTATGTGTGATTGTTGCATGTAGTGTCGGCAGATTAAGCCAACAGAGATAGGATTGGTCAGTAGCGTCATTGAAAAATATCTGATCAATTTGAGAAATCAGG